GCTATTGTCTGGGGCTGATTTCGATGGTCAATGTATCCTCCTTGTGTAACAGACAATAAAATCGTTCTTTAACGTATCTAATTCGCTTTTACATTTACTAATGTTTTCCATTTGTACTTTTTGCCACTGTTGTTGACTTTCCTGTAGTTGCTGCTGACTTTCTTCTTGTTTCCTTTCTTGTTCCATTTGCCACTGCTGTAATCTCTATTCTTGTTTCTTTTCTCGTTCTTCTTGTTTCTTTTCTTTTTCCTCCAACAACTGCTGTAATTTTTTTTCTTGTTTATTTTGCTGTTCGAGCTGCCACTGTTGCAGATTTTCTTTTAACTGCTGTTGTCTCTCTTCTTGTTTCTTTTCTTGTTTCTTTTCTCATTCTTCTTGTTTCCTTTGCTGCTCTTGTATTGCTGCCATCAAGTCTGCTAAGCTGTAGTTTGATTTGCCGCTTCTCATTTCCATTTCTTTCTTTTTTTTTTCATCCCACTTCTGACACCTATTTGTTATGTCTCCGTTCGTTAGTTAATTTTCCGTAACTTCGTTCCAACGAAACTTTAGCAACACAAGTCCTTTCTTAAATAAAACTGGTTTATTCTTTCTGAATATAACTTTGCAATACACTTAATTTCAACAGTCGCGCTATAACAAACGCTATAACAACGAACGTCTCACGTGCTCAACTTCAACAATACTCTCTGACTGCAGTTCAATTACTCACTGTCTCGTCACATTGTGACCATCTTATATATACCAGACTACCCCCAATCTAGTAGTCTCCCGATAATTCACGAAGGTTCGAGAGAAAAACTTGGCATGATACTAGTCACGTGACCTCGCTGATGCAACAATATTCTATGTGGCTACAGAGGCATTGTTTCCCTTTTTGTATTCAAACAGCATTACATGCCAAATGTGTGTCTCATCATGTGCCATCACTATAAGGGATAAGAGTATACTAAACTTTACACATTATATAGGCTACACTAACATGACATTTAAGCACTTCATTTAGCTATTATACATGATCCACATCTTTGGGGGTGGTTAATGAAAGTGTTCCACAAGCGACATTAACTTCTTGATGACCTAATAGTTAGACAGGGTTCAAAGGGCAATAAAACAATAAAATTTAATTATAAATAGATGTATGCTGTTACAAGCTTAAAGTTATTTAGGATAAACAAATGAAGTTTCATGTTACTCTTTCAAGTAATTCTAGAAAGAAAAAAGGGTAATTTAGATTTATTTCAATTTTTTTTTGTGGTTACGAGGTTGATAAAATTGACTGATCCCGTTTAGAGTTAGGGTAGGGTAAATAACAGATAATATATAGAGTTTTACTGAAAACAAATGTTTGAAATGTATTTAGGAGGTTTTAGGGATTTTGAGATTTTTGAAATGAAGAAAAGTATTGTTAAACTTAACATGAAAATCACTTTGCACAAATTATTATTTTAGTTTATTAAAATACTTCACTAAGAAATATAATTTTTTTGTATGTGAAAGACTTATAATGTTAAGTGAAAAACTGCCAAATGTTTGAAGATATACACACTATATTGGATGTTAGAAGTATTAAATGTATAAAGACTTTAAAAGAGTACAAAGAGATCATGTGATGGGTCAAATCGACCTACCCCCATGTTGAGAGAGTTAAAATGTTATGATGTGCAAAAAAAAGATGCCAGTGTAAAGAGGGTTAAAACAATGTTTCAGTAGTCAAACAGTACATATATTGTATACAAAGCATGAATTTATCCCATAATAAAAAGTTAATAGTTATAGCAAAACTTTAAATATTGTTTAGTATTTAGCAGAAGGCATTTATTGAAGCATTATTTTAATTTTTTCTTGAATGCCTTCATATACCAACAATTTAATAAATATACTGTTACTGCTTTATGTGCATTCATACAGAATTAGAATAACTGCAAAAATTAAACATTTTAACACGTAAATGATGATTTTAGATTCAACTACTTATCTTACATCTAATTTCTTATCAGGTTATGCAATTGATATTCCTCTACATTTATGTAACTTGTTTAAGTGTGATATTTTATACACTATCAGAGGAAACAAGATATTCCAGTAACCACTAAAATAAATATCAAAAGTTATAGTACCTGGAACTTGTAGGAATGCAGGAGCTTGGTTAGACGCTCTCTGAAAGTAATCAGTGGTTGAATGTCAGGGTCTGACTCAAGATTTGTGGCTATAGATGTTGAATCTCCTGTCTTTTCAGTGGTGTCTTCCATCTTTCACTTTCAGTTTTTCTGAAATGTACAACACCAAATGAATGAAAACAATTACAAAGAAAACAAAATAGATAATCACTTCCCTGCACCACCAAGAACTAGAATCTCACACTGAAGATGGTGTAGGGGGCCAATGCTGAGAAATTACAAAGATGAGGTCCTTTTAGAAAACAGTATAAGAAGAGAATTGTCATGGAATGTGACACTCATAAGGCTGGGTTAGACCAGTGGAGTAGTACTTGGTGAGAGACCGCACCCATCTCATACAGGGAATAATTCTCTTTGAACAATAGAATTGGTAGAGCAAAGGTTGTTGCTAAAATAATCTTTTCCTGGCTGCTAAGGTGGATGGAATGGTAGACTGCTCAACCATCCATTATTGTACAGGTAGATAGCCGATCAAATGTGTGTTGTGTGACAGGGCTATAAGTCAGGCCATTACATACTGGAGAAATACTTTTGAGACACACCACAAGCCAAACTCAAGACCCATCCAGCTGAACCTATCCACTGAGAATGGCTTGGTTCATGATGTAATGGGGTGTCATGTATTACTTTAATGGGTAACACTTCAGCCCTACTTCCTAAATGAAGTGTTCATTTCACCCAGTCTCATACCATTGGGATTGCATCACCTGATGAGGAACTCTCCATATCAGCTTCCCCTGTAGCTTAGAACTAGAAAAGCAAGGGACTCTCACATAATCCATAAGAAGAAATGCAATGCGAGGAATTTGCAAGAAGGGGAGAGAACACAGAAGAGGTGCATGGATCATTGTTGTAAGGTGCAATCATCTGGAAATAGGTCTCTCACTGATAAACAGTGCAATAGGTTACAGTGACTAAAGACAGAAAGTTTGAGTCAGAAGGCAGCTAATCATCATCACCGACCACCAACTCTTGGGCTACTCTTTTACCAACCAATAGTGGGATTGACCATCACATTATAATGCCCCCACAGCTGAAAGAGCGAGCATGTTTGGTGGGACGGGGATTCGAACCCGCGACCCTCAATTTGCGAGTTGACCGCCCTAACCACCTAGCCATGCTGAGCCCCCAGAGGTTAAAGATTGGATATGTGAGCCACTTGTTCTGTGTTTTCTAAGTCCCTCGAATAGTAGGAAGGTGCCCAGAAAATTAGATATTGGTTAGCGTTATTCCTTTTCTCAAGTGAGGTGATAAAAACTGTTCCAGTAATTATAGTCCTATTAGTCAATGGTGGTAAAAGTCTGATAAAAGAGGCTTAGAGTCATTTAACAAAGTTTAAATTTTGTTTAAATAGCATGGTTTAACTAGGGGAAAGTCTTGCCTTAGTAATCTTTAGACATTCTTTGAAGAGGTTACTGCTTATGTAGATGAGAGTAAGAGTGTTGAATTGGTATATTTGGATTTTAAGAAAGCATTTGACTAGGTGCCACATTAAAGGTTTGTTAAAAAGGTGTGGGGAATGAATACTTTGGTTCATTGGATAGAAAACTGGTCAGATGGGAAAAAAAAAGATGGTTATTATAAATCAAGTTTGGTCAAACTGGATTAATGTCATGAGTGGTGTATCTCAGGGCTTAGTGTTAGGGCCTTTGCTCTTTTTGTTTGATTTACATCAATGGCACAGATGAAAGAATTGTTAATAGATTATTTAAATTTGCTGATGACATTAAAGTTTTGGGTATTTATAGCTTTGAGGAGTATGCTACAGCTTTACAAAAGAAATTGGTTATTTGGTGAGTTTGGGGAATAAATGGCAGATGACTTTGCCATCCAAACAATATGATGTTGCTATTGGCAGGGCAAATAGGATTTTAGAGTATATCTACAGAGCTACTGAATACAAATCTAAGGTAAAATGTCATTGTATAGGTCATTAGTTAGGCAACATTTGGAGTACTGTGTTTAGTCTTGGGATCCTTACTTTAGAAAGGACTTTGAATTGTTGGAAAAGGTTCAGAGGAAGGCTATTAGGATAGAACAATTGTCATACAAGGATAAGTTAAGATCTCCAAGCTTGTTTTCTCTCGAAAAAAGAAGAGTTAGAGAGGATCTGATTGAAGTGTTTAAGATTGTTATAGGAATTGATATTGTTGATGCACCATATTTTTGTATTTAATGGTGAGAATGGTAAGACTAGAGGACACAAATATACAATTTGGCAGGGGATGAGCAATGCAATGTGTGAAGACGTGTAATTTATAGGTTATGACCATGTAGTGTAGGCCGAGTTTACTGTTCATCAGCACTAACCTATGTTAGAAGTTATGTGAAAAAATACTACTAGTAGTATAGTTTGGAAATAGAATGTTGACCGTATATCATAGCAATGTGTCTTTCTATCTGTCTGTCTGTCAAGATTTTCAAAGGGCTGCTGTTTGGAGACTGTGTAACTAATTTTCATCAATCTTGCTCAAGTAATCAGACATGTTAAAGTTGAATTTTGTTGTTAGAAACTAGGCCTTTAACTTCTCCTCCCAGGGATTTTGTTTGGTCGTTCTCAAAGTTAGATAAAGTAATGAATGTATAGAGATGCATAAAATTTGTATACAATTCTTAAGTCAAAGGTCATTTGGGGTCAGGAGGGGCCAAAAACTAGAAAGCTTATAAAGTACTTGTTCTCTTTATGTGTAAATCTGATTTTTATCAAAGTAGTAAGTGGTTAGAGATGCCTGAAATTTGTTCTTGATTTGTAAGGTCACCAGAGGTCAAATCCTGGAAACCTTTAAAATGTTTCTCCTCCCAGGGATTTTGTTGGATCCTCCTCACAATTAGATGAATCAATATGTGGAGAGAAATGCCTAAAAGTTGTATACAATTTTCATGTCAAATGTCATTTGGGGTCAGGAGGGGGGGGGGGCATTATTAAGATCACAGGGCATTTTAGATCAGCGTGATACCTCCTTTTTTAATCTTAAAGCTGATGTACTGTTACTTCATAAGTCTCTGGTTAAAGTTAATACTTACCTACCTGATAAACATAATCTGGAAGGATAGGCCATCTTCCCAAGCCCCCAGTGAAATAAATTAATGCTATATTTACTAAACTAATTGGGAAACTCATCTATATTCCATTAACATTAATGTGTACTGTGGCCTTAGTGCCCTTCAGTGAATTTTTTTGAGGCCTTGGTGTCCTTGGAAATGAAAGAGAATCCAAGGCCAAATGGCCTTACCCTAAAAATGATCAATTACCTGCCCTACATGTTAATAGGTACTAAAGAAGAGTGAGTCACAGAGACTGATGTTGCAGTCTTTTTCAAAAAGACTTAAGTTTACAGCACAGCCTATTGAGAGTGCTGAAGAGTGAAGACAACGTAATTTGAATGCTATGCTGACTCAGCCAATAACCTCTAGTCATTGATTTAAAAACATAGGGTTAACTTTTTCCTTAAATATAAGATGTTAAAACTAAAAGAAGTTATCCACAAGATGGCAAAAAGAGGGTTTACTTAAATTTTCATTACAATAGAAAACTTTTGAATGAATGAAGTACACCACACTTATTTTATCATGATCACTCAAATAAAAAAAAAATGTCTTGCATTGCAAATTATTGGCAGTGGCAGAAACACTTTCTGGTAGCAAAGAAATATTGATTGAAAAACATCTTGTTTGTTTATTAGTACCATGAAAATCTAGCGAGATATTGCCTGTCATAAATAATGTGTAGAAACATGATTTTAGGTAACAAAACCACTGGCACCTAGAATCAACAAATGATTACTCGTGAAACCAGGCCCTAGCACAATGGATCATCTGATTACTATACTTTACTAAAAGGCAGGATAATTTAGCTCTCTGATACAAATGAATTTTTTTTTTTCAGTTTAAAATAGAAACTTCTTCAGACTTGTAAAGCTTTAAAAATTTCTGATTTCATTGTGTAAGTACATATTTGATGAGCTATGTCA